TCGTTTTAATTAATGGTGGGCCAGTCAATTCATGACACCCCATGAATGACACATGCACAAAAAAGATAACCTAATGTTATTTTTCATATTTTTGTTCACAACTAAAAAAGTTACAAAATTGTCACACAAATTTGTAACATTCATATTATTGTCTATGATTCTATTTAACATGTATCAAAATACAAGTATTTTATATGCGTATAAAAAATATATGCTCAATATTAATACTCAATGTTAAAATTTTAATTATATTCAAATATTTTTTTTAAGAGTATATATATATATATATATATATATATATATATATATATATATAAATTATAGTTGCAGAATTAATAGTTGATAAAGTCAGCATATGGTATCACCATTGAAAGACAAATAATTATGATATGATTAGTATTATTAAAGTAAGAATTTTAGGTATAATAAATTACTAAATATAATTATGATCATATTTAATTAAAAGTTAAATGAAATCAAATTTATTTCTTATATTACTCCAATACATTATTATTATTGAAGAATATATACGAAAAGATATTGTGTATGCATGTGCATTGTAATAATAATGAAAAAATATATCAGAAGTTATAAGGGTAGGAATAATTTTGTACAAAAATTGTATATATAGTACAACTCTTATAGCATAATGTATAAAAAAAAATTGAATAGAAAAAACAAACATAAATCAAGGTATAACCTAGATTGAGACTTATTATGTTTTTAAATTAGACTAGTATTTTCACCCGTGCGATGCACGGAATGGAATTGTTGTAATATATTAAGAATATTTAAATTGATATATAATTATTTAAGAGTTAATTTCACCAGAGGTCGTTTATCTTTCCTGACAATTCCAAATTTAATCCTAGACTATAGTTATTAATTATTACAATTTATTCTATGTTACAACTCTTACGTTAATGTTCTTACTATTATTATTAACACTTAATTACTTTTAGATTTATTATTATCACTTAAATTATATTATTATTATTATTAGTTTCTTTTCAAGTACTGTTAGTATATAATGGTCGTGAGGCACAATAATAATATAACCATAATTAAATATTCTTGTATTGTATTCCGGAGTTAGTGCCATTTTTGGTCCTAGACTTATTGAGGCATTGACACTTTTCATCCTCTATAATAAAAATTGCCACTTAGTAGACATTGTTATTGGTCGTTGGACAGTTTTGATCCTCCGTCAATGAAGCCGTTTGTTGACCGTGAATTAGAAAGGCTTTTCTGTATTTTTATGTTTTATTCTTCTAATCTTGTCTAGACCAGCGCTGCTGTGACTCCTGTGAGTCGAGATGGCGAGACTTGGCGGCAAAGTAGTAACCGTCGATAGTGAGTAGCAGCGAGGTTCTTCTCCGGCGAGTTGTGGGTATGACGGCGAGCATACGAGACAATAACTCCTTCCGGCGACGGAATTATTGTATAGATTGTAACGCAGAATTATTGTACGAATGGGAAAGTAGAAATCAATATATTTTATTAGGAAGAGAGATTTTGTAGGAATTGGGCGGGAAGTTAAAATTTCAAAATTTTGTTTTTATATATAGTATAGATTGTATTACACTATTTTAAAATATTATAATTGAATTTTAACGCAGAATTATTGTACGAATGGAAAAGTAGAAATCAATATATTTTATTAGGAATAGAGATTTTGTATGAATTGGGCTGGAAGTTAAAATTTCAGGATTTTGTTTTTATATATAGTATAGATTGTATTACACTATTTTAAAATATTAGAATAGAATTTTAACGCAGAATTATTTTACGAATGGAAAAGTAGAAATCAATATATTTTATTAGGAAGAGATATTTTGTAGGAATTTCAGGATTTTGTTTTTATATATAGTATAGATTGCATTACACTATTTTAAAATATTAGAATAGAATTTTAACGCAGAATTATTTTACGAATGGGAAAGTAGAAATCAATATATTTTATTAGGAAGAGAGATTTTGTAGGAATAGGGCGGGAAGTTAAAATTTCAGGATTTTGTTTTTATATATAGTATAGATTGTATTACACTATTTTAAAATATTAGAATAGAATTTTAACGCAGAATTATTGTACGAATGAGAAAGTAGAAATCAATATATTTTATTAGGAAGAGAGATTTTGTAGGAATTGGGCGGGAAGTTAAAATTTCAGGATTTTGTTTTTATATATAGTATATATTGTATTACACTATTTTAAAATATTAGAATAGAATTTTAACGCAGAATTATTGTACGAATGGGAAAGTAGATATCAATATATTTTATTAGGAAGAGAGATTTTGTAGGAATTGGGCGGAAAGTTAAAATTTCAGGATTTTGTTTATATATATATATATATATATATATATATATATATATATATATATATATATATATATATATATATATATATTATAGATTGTATTACACTATTTTAAAATATTAGAATAGAATTTTAACGCAGAATTATTGTACGAATGAGAAAGTAGAAATCAATATATTTTATTAGGAAGAGAGATTTTGTAGGAATTGGGCGGCAAGTTAAAATTTCAGGATTTTGTTTTTATATATAGTATAGAGTGTATTACACTATTTTAAAATATTATAATTGAATTTTAACGCAGAATTATTGTACGAATGGGAAAGTAGAAATCAATATATTTTATTAGGAAGAGAGATTTTGTAGGAATTGGGCGGGAAGATAAAATTTCAGGATTTTGTTTTTATATATAGTATAGATATAGATTGTATTACACTATTTTAAAATATTAGAATTGAATTTTAACGCAGAATTATTGTACGAATGGGAAAGTAGAAATCAATATATTTTATTAGGAATAGAGATTTTGTATGAATTGGGCTGGAAGTTAAAATTTCAGGATTTTGTTTTTATATATAGTATAGATTGATTGTCTCTCCCTGGTATCTAGGGTTTTTCCTCTCTCTCCCTGGTATCTAGGGTTTTTTGCTTTTTCGGCTTGATCATCGCTCTCGTTGCTCGTCCGATCACTCTTGTGCTTTTACGACTGCCGAAGACGTCCAGGGCGAGGCTTCCGGTCGCTGAATCATGGATGTCCGCGATATAGTCCAAAGTTGTGCGGAGATAACTCTCGAAGATGAAGAGACGGGGGTTCGGTTCGAAGAAGACCCAGGCTCGGCCGTGGCAGTTGATGTTGTGCGGCAATATTGGCAGTTAGTTGGTCGGTTCCTAACCGATCGTAATATCAAGTTTGATGTGATGAGACAGGTAATGGCTTCTGTTTGGAGGCCGTTAATGGGGATACAGGTTACAGAGGTACAACCCAATCTTTACTTGTTTACGTTCTATCATGACACGGACATGGCTTATGTGCTGGAGAATGGTCCTTGGGCGTTTGAGAACGCTACCTTAGTTTGTCAACCTTTGCGGCCTGGAGAGCATCCTATGCAGGTTACGTTGAATACGATTGATTATTGGATACAAGTTCATGACCTCCCGGTCGGCTACCGAACGGATAAAGTCTTGGAGAAAGTGGGGGATTATTTTAGGGCTGTTTGTTCGGCTAGATGAACGGAATTTTACGAGGCCTTGGACCAAATTTTATAGAGTGCAGGTTACGGTTGAGGTAACGGCACCTCTGAAAAGGCGCATGAAGATGATTTTGCGAGATAATTCATGGACTTGGGTGAATTTTCGGTATGAACGCTTGCATATGTTTTGTTACTTTTGTGGAAAATTGGGGCACACGGATAAGTTTTGTCTTGATGCTCGTGTGTCTCGCCTGAAACCTGAGCAATATCCTTTTAGTGCGAGTTTGAAGGCTGGGGGCAATTTACCGGCGAAGGCGGTGGGGGAGAGTTGGTTGCAAAAAGGGGAACGGAGACACCGAGAGTTGGGTCTCGGCAGCGGGGAGGGGGGCGCTGTCCTCGGTTCACGAATGACCGCTGACCGCCCGGGTGGTGTCTCGGCCTTACTGGCGGAGGGGCGTCGGGACTTACCGAACGCGGGAATTGGCTCGGCCAGTGTGTCTAGGCCGGGTGCAGCAGTGTTTAGGGATGGGTTTCGGGATGAGGGGGAGGAGGAAGGGGTGCGGGTTGATCCGAAGCGGAGACGGGGTGTGGAGAGGGAGGTGGCGGGGAGAGTGGAGGCGGAGGAGGGAGTGATGTTGGTGGATTCTGATTCTTCTACTATGGCGGGACCTGTTGATCAGGCCCGCCCTTCCCAATGAGTATTCTAAGTTGGAACTGTCGTGGCTTGGGCAATCCACGAACAGTTCGTGAAATTGTGGACCTAGTGTCCAAAAAGAAGCCGGATTTTGTGTACTTGATGGAAACGATGGTGGATAGGAGTCATGTGGAGAGGCTCCGTGTGAAGATTGGGTTTGAGGGAGGTTTTGGGGTGGATAGTGTGAGGCAGAAGGGTGGCATGGGTTTTCTATGGGCAAAGAATAATAGCGCTCGGTTAATCAAGTACTCTAATAACCACATCGATCTGGTGGTGACATTACCAAATCGTCACCATTGGAGACTCACTTGCTATTATGGTTTTGCCCAGAGTACGAGGATAAGGGAGTCGTGGGATTTTCTACGATCGCTCAAGGATGCATCTGATCTTCCTTGGGTGGTAATAGGGGATTCAACGATCTTCTTTATCAGTCTGAGAAGAGGGGTAGACGGCTGCATCCAACTGGTTTGTTAGAAGGATTTGGGGATGCTCTCACTGATTGCAGTTTGACGACTATTCCCATGATCGGGTATCCTTACACCTGGGAACGGAGTAAGGGGACTCCGAATTGGGTAGAGGAGAGGCTGGATAGGGCAGTGGGGGATGCAGCTTGGTTGGAGATGCATAATAGAGCCAGGCTGTATAATATTCAGACATTAATGTTGGATCACACGGCCATTTTTCTGGATATTAATGGCTCAACTACAATATGGAGGCCACGTTGTTTTCGCTTTGAGAATGCGTGGTTGGAGGATTAGGGTTGTATGATGGAGAATTAGTGGTTGAGTACGCAGGGGGTATGGGGTTGCAGGAGAGGTTGTGGATGTGTGGCCAGGGTCTGAAGAAGTGGGGTGGAGACCACTTTCAAAAATTTGGGTCCAGGATTGACACTATAAGGCGGGATATGAATGCTTTGAGAGGCCGTATGGACTCGGTTTCTTTGGGGCAGTTTAGACAGTTGGATGGGCAGTTGTGTTCCATCTTGTCGCAGGAGGAGACTTTCTGGAAACAAAGGGCCAAACAGCACTGGCTGCAGGGTGCGGATAGAAATACAAAGTTTTTCCATCAGTACGCCACGTACCGGAAAAGGAAGAACTTTGTTATGAAGCTTAAAGATGAGAATGGGGCTTGGAAGGAGGGGGATGGCCTAACTTCGCTGGTCACGAGTTATTATGAGCAGATATTCCAGTCCAGCGGCGGGTCCGGGGCGTTTCACGTGGATACCCTCACACCACGTGTCACGCGTGAGCAAAACGATGATCTTCTTCGTCCGTTCGAGCCTGAGGAGGTGAAGCGCGCCTTGTTTTCCATGGGGAAAGATAAGTCACCAGGGCCGGATGGCATGAATCCGGGCTTCTACCAGGCATTCTGGGATCTCATTGGTAAGGATGTTACTGATTTTGTACTTAATTGTTTATCTCAATCATCCTTTCCCCTAGAGCTGAATGATGCGAATATTGTTTTAATACCTAAAAAGGCGGCCCCTGAGTTTGTTGCGGATCTAAGGCCGATTGCTTTGTGTAATGTGGTTTATAAACTAATGGCCAAGATGATTGCTAATCGTATGAAACCGCTACTTGATAATATTATTTCGGAGTCGCAGAGTGCCTTTCTGCCAAGTAGGCTCATCTCGGACAATATCCTTATTGCGTCTGAGGTTGGTCACTACTTACGAAGGAAACAGCTAGGGCGTGTAGGTTGGGCGGCCCTCAAATTGGATATGGCTAAGGCCTATGATCGAATGGAGTGGTCATTTGTGGAACGCATGTTATTGGGACTGGGTTTTGATGGAAAATGGGTCAGTCTAATCATGCTCTGTGTACGGACAGTCAGGTACAGGGTGCTGGTGAATGGGAAGCCGAGTAAGGAAATAATCCCATCTAGGGGTTTAAGGCAGGGGGACCCATTATCTCCATATCTTTTTATTATATGTGCAGAAGGCTTGTCCCTTTTGTTGCAGGATGCCCAGACTAAAGGACGAATACATGGTTGCAGGGTAGCTCGTGGGGCTCCACCTATCTCGCATCTTTTCTTTGCGGATGATAGTCTGCTCTTCTTTAAAGCAAATATGCAGGAAACTTTGGAGGTGAAACGTTGCTTAACGGTTTATAAGAAATTTTCAGGGCAATCTGTTAATTTTCATAAATCCAATATCTCTTTTAGCCGGAATACTGTTCTGGGGGACAGGAATGATATTGCTAATGGATTAGGAGTTGAGCAAGCTGAGGATTTTGGGAAGTATCTGGGTCTCCCCTCTGTTATTGGGAGAAACAGGAAAGTGGTTTTCTCTTATGTTGAGAAAAAATTGAGGCAGAGGTTTGGCTCCTGGAATAAGAGACTGTTATCTGTGGCAGGTAAAGAGGTGTTACTGAAAAGTGTTGCACAGGCAATGCCAACCTACACTATGAGTATCTACCTGTTGCCTATGACTCTATGTGTATCTCTGGAAAGACTGATGAATAGATACTGGTGGGGCAAAAGTAATGTGGTAGACGGTATTCACTGGATGGCCTGGGACAAGATGTGTGTACCCAAGAAGCATGGAGGTATGGGTTTTAAAAGGCTGCATGAGTTTAATTTGGCTCTCCTAGGAAAGCAAGGGTGGAGAATGTTGACCTGCCCGGACTCTTTAGTGGCCAGGATCTTTAAAGCAAGGTATTTTCCTAACACTACTTTTTATGAGGCCACGCTTGGTGGTAACCCAAGTTATGTGTGGAGAAGCATTATCGCCAGCCAGGACCTTGTTCGAAGTGGTTGCAGGCTTAGAATTGGCAACGGAAGAATGACTAGAGTCTGGGACCACCCCTGGTTGCCTGATTCCCATGACCCTTTCGTTCACTCAGATCAGCCCGCGCAACATCCTGATTTGATGGTGGCAGATTTGATAAATTATGACCAGGGGATTTGGAATCAGGAATTAATATCGCAAATCTTTATTCCCAGGGATGCTGGCTTAATTTTACAAACCCCGGTGTGTGTCGATTTTAAAGATGATTGGTACTGGACGGGTGATATTAGGGGAATGTATACGGTCAAGAACGGTTACAGGCGGCTTGGGGAGATTAATGCCCCATGTGATGCAATATGGAATAACATTTGGAAATTACAGGTTCCCCCAAATGGAGAATTTTTCTTTGGAGAGCTATCACAAATATTTTGCCAACAATTACTAACCTGGTTAGAAGAAGAGTGGAGATCCCGAATGTGTGCCCTGCTTGTGGGGTGCTTGAAGAGGATGTTATGCACATTTTATGCAATTGTGTTTATGCTAGACGTGTGTGGAATATTTCACAACTCTAAATCCCTAACTTTGGTGATCATGATTTTGTGCAGTGGGTGGAGCTTTGGCTTGGGAACTCAGCAATATCTGCTGGTTTTCTAAAAGATCAAATATGTGGAATACTCTACGAAATATGGAGGGCCCGGAACATGGCGGTTTGGGATCTCGCGTTGCCTTCCCCAATACATCTTTGCGTCTCATTTCACCGCACCTGGTCCGCCTGGACCAAGTCTACTGTCCACGGCAGTGTTGCGCCCTTGCCGAGCCATATTACTGCTCTGCCGTCACCAGCGTCCGAGGTGCTGCCTGCCATGCAACATGAAGATGCCGCGTCACTCCCCCATGATGCCGTACTATGCTCTACGGACGCCGGGTTCTATGGATCCCAACACGCCCCAACGTTCGGCTTCTATGTGCGTAGCCCGGAAGGTGTTTTTATTGCAGCGGTAAATGGCCCACTCTCTTGCCCATATGATCCTCTTTTAGCCGAAGCTATGGCAATACGTGAGGCTCTCTCATGGCTACAGGACCACAATTATCACAATATTGTTATTTTGACAGACTGCGCAGTTCTCGTGGATAGCTTTCGGGACGTCAGGATTTTGTTTTTATATATAGTATAGATTGTATTACACTATTTTAAAATATTATAATTGAATTTTAACGCAGAATTATTGTACGAATAGAAAAGTAGAAAGCAATATATTTTATTAGGAAGAGAGATTTTGTAGGAATTGGGCGGGAAGATAAAATTTCAGGATTTTGTTTTTATATATAGTATAGATATAGATTGTATTACACTATTTTAAAATATTCGAATAGAATTTTAACGCAGAATTATTGTACGAATGAGAAAGTAGAAATCAATATATTTTATTAGGAAGAAAGATTTTGTAGGAATTGGGCGAGAAGTTAAAATTTCAGGATTTTGTTTTTATATATAGTATAGATTGTATTACACTATTTTAAAATATTAGAATATAATTTTAACGCAGAATTATTGTACGAATGGGAAAGTAGAAATCAATATGTTTTATTAGGAAGAGAGATTTTGTAGGAATTGGGCGGGAAGTTAAAATTTCAGGATTTTGTTTTTATATATAGTATATATTGTATTACACTATTTTAAAATATTAGAATAGAATTTTAACGCAGAATTATTGTAAAAATGAGAAAGTAGAAATCAATATATTTTATTAGGAAAAGAGATTTTGTAGGAATTGGGCGGAAAGTTAAATTTTCAGGATTTTATTTTTATATATAATATAGATTGTATTACACTATTTTAAAATATTAGAATAGAATTTTAACGCAGAATTATTGTACGAATGAGAAAGTAGAAATCAATACATTTTATTAGGAAGAGAGATTTTGTAGGAATTGGGCGCAAACTTAAAATTACAGGATTTTGTTTTTATATATAGTAAGTATAGATTGTATTACACTATTTTCAAATATTATAATTGAATTTTAACGCAAAATTATTGTACGAATAGGAAAGTAGAAATCAATATATTTTATTAGGAAGAGAGATTTTGTAGGAATTGGGCGGAAAGATAAAATTTCAGTACAAATGAGAAAGTAGAAATCAATACATTTTATTAGGAAGAGAGATTTTGTAAGAATTGGGCAGGAAGTTAAAATTACAGGATTTTGTTTTTATATATAGTATAGATTGTATTACACTATTTTCAAATATTATAATTGAATTTTAACGCAGAATTATTGTACGAATGGGAAAGTAGAAATCAATATATTTTATTAGGAAGAGAGATTTTGTAGGAATTGGGCGGGAAGATAAAATTTCAGGATTTTGTTTTTATATATAGTATAGATATAGATATTATTACACTATTTTAAAATATTAGAATAGAATTTTAACGCAGAATTATTGTACGAATGTGAAAGTAGAAATCAATATATTTTATTAGGAAGAGAGATTTTGTAGGAATTGGGCGGGAAGATAAAATTTCAGAATTTTGTTTTTATATATAGTATAGATAGATTGTATTACACTATTTTAAAATATTAGAATAGAATTTTAACGCAGAATTATTGTACGAATGAGAAAGTAGAAATCAATTTATTTTATTAGAAAGAGAGATTTTGTAGGAATTGGACGGGAAGTTAACATTTCAGGATTTTGTTTTCATATATAATATAGAAGTATAGATTGTATTAAACTATTTTAAAATATTATAATTGAATTTTAACGCAGAATTATTGTACGAATGGGAAAGTAGAAATCAATATATTTTATTAGGAAGAGAGATTTTGTAGGAATTGGGCGGAAAGTTAAAATTTCAGGATTTTGTTTTTATATATAGTATAGATTATATTATTATATATTACTAGTAATTCACCCGCGTGATGCACGGGAAAAAATTATGTTATTATAAATATAAATAAAAAATAAAAAAACTAAAATATTTTAAATTATTTAATATAATAATATTTTTGAGCTTCCATTGGTCAAGTATTTATTATTTTTATAGAATACAAAATTACAATTAAAATTAAAATTAATATTAAAATTATAATTTTGTATGGTTAATATAATCTCTAATTATGTGCATATTCAAATAAACTTATAGAGAGAATTTACATAATTACATTGATTTATTCTTAATTGTATTTCATCTATATTATAATTTTCACAATACGAATAATAACTAAGATAATTACATTTGGAAAGCAAATTTCAAAATTTTTATGTGTAAATTTAAACTATAATTGAACACATTTTTTATATAATTATATAATATATAGCTATTTTATTTTTCAAAAGTATATTTTTTTTTATATGATTATATAATATATAGCTATTTTATTTTTTAAATGTTGTGCTTTTTTTTCTTTTTTTTTTTTAATAAAGGATGTTGTGGCATTAATTGTAACATTAATTATTTCCCAAATCATATAGCTTTATTATATAAAGGATTATAAGCGTGAGTTAAATATTTGTTTGATGTGTCAAAAACATAAATATATTGAATGATTAAACACACAGAGAGTTACAGAGAGAAATATATGTATACATGCATTGAAGCATTTGGTGAGGATCGGAGTTGACGTTTATGGAGCCACAGACATAATACGTACCACTAACTACAAAATGATCTGTCATACCAATTATATATATAAATATATGGAGTAATAAACAGCCGACACAGAAAATATGAATATAAAAGTCGTCGCCTACAAGCACAAGGAGGCCCATTCATTATGTGCTCAAGAAAACCACATATTCTACACCCTCAAGTTAATCTCATGATGAAGACTTCATACATATTATTTTTAGTATATTACAAGTTTATTTTTAATATGTCCATTATATCAAGTAAATTTTTATTATGTTACAAGTAAAAGTAAATTTATAGTATACAAAAAATGATTATTCAATATCAATATGTAAAATATAAATTTGTATTAATTGTCAATCTTGCCAGTCGTTATATCGTGAACCGCGTGCATAATCGATTATGCACCGTGCATCAAAACGGCGCCGTTTCTTTAAGTAAAGAAACGGCGCGTTGTTAGTGTTAACGGAGTGACACTACCGTGTATCTAAACCGACACTGCCTCGCGTATTATTTTTATATTATCAAATGAAATTGCAGTTATATCAAAATGATACTGCAGTTGTGGTGAAATGTAACTGCAGTTATATCAAAATGATACTGCAGTTGTGGACCACAATATATATAAAATGAAACTAAATAACATTTCACATATTTGAGTGTATATTGTACAATGAAGCTGTAATTATATCAAAATGATCATGTAGTTGTGTTTTAATGAAACTATAGTGTATATAAAATAAAATTAAATACCATTTTAACATATTTGAGTGTATAAATATTGAATAAAACTGTAGTTATATCAAAATGAAATTGTAGTTGTGTTGAACTGAAACTGCAGTGTATACAAAATGAAACTGAAGAATAGAGTTATTGTTTGCGGAACAAATTCCGTTTCTTTTCATTAAATAAAATGACGTCGTTTTGATGCGCGGTGCATAATCGATTATGTACCGCGGTGCACGATATAATTTGCCCAATCTTGCTACATATATGGACCATGGTCCATGGTATAAGCATTGTGTCAACATCACCTCTTTGACTCAATACCATGGCCCATGTAGCAATGCATACAATGAAGTAAAACAAAGTCATTTGATTTTAATCGAAAAAAAAAAAAATTATTACCATTGTATGAACTATTTTTTGTTATTGTTTTTTTTTTCTCACACACTTAATTTGATTATAGTAACACTGAAGTATCATTTTATTTACATTTTATGTCTCTGCTATCCAGTTTTATTTTGTACACACAATAGATTAATTATAGTAATACTAAAGAATTATTTTAATTATCTTACAGGTTTATTTGATAATATACATATATGTATGAACTATGCTATTGAATTTCATTTTATACATACAATTGGTTCATTATAGCAACACTAAAATATCATTTTAATTCTACTACATGTTCATTAAACAATATACATATATGTATAAGCTCTGCTATTCAATTTCATTTTATTTTTACACATTCGGTTCATTATAGAAATATTAAAGTGTCATTTTAATTCAACAACAGTGTTCATTTGACAATATATATATATATATATATATATATATATATATATATATATATATATATATATATATATATATATATATATATATATATATATATATATATATATATATATATATATAATGTCATACGCCATTGGTTCACGGTAAGATAAATTATTATGTGGATCATGGTCCATACAATGTTGTGTGATCCATAAAAAATTACATTTTAATATATTAAAAGTATATTATACAAATAATGTACTTTCTCTACATACAAAGTAAATTTTTAATATACTAAAAATGCATTATTTATGTATTGAATGTACAATATTTGATAGTGTACAAAATAATGTACTTCGGTACTCAAATATTGTACTTTCAAAGAGTTAATTACATTTTTAGTCCTAGACTTATAGGTGACACTCCACTTTTAGTCCCTTTTTTTTTTATTAGAGCATCCACATTTGATCCTAATATTATTGTGGCATGACCATTTTTGGTCGCTCGTCAACAAAAATGTTGAAATATCGTTAAATTCAAAGGCATTTCGATCATTTTTATACAAAATGAGTTGACCCCGCTATATTTTTATGTTTATTTTTTTGAATAAAAAAATCTATAATTAAAAATCAAAATATCTTTGTATTTAACGGCATTACACGTGTTCTATTGATAGAGGACCAAAAATGGTCATGTCACAGTAATGTAACATTTTCCATTATGTCACCATTAAGTGATGTGAGTTAATAGGCCATTTATTGTCATTATGTTGTGGTTTGAAATGGAAGTAATGATTTCCGTTACTTAACCTATAATGATGAGACGTATGATATATATATATATATATATATATATATATGGTTGGTGTCCTCCCACTGCTCCTGTAATCTTTGTGACTAGACCATCTAGTTGAAT